ATTCTGCAGAAATTTTAATTTTCTCTGTCATCATGAAAGGGAAATTTTTCTCCACTCATTACTTCTCATGTGAGAACTGTAATCTGTTTGCATTATTGCCCGTTCTTTGGTCAGACTGTATCTCCCATCGTATGCTACTTTTCACATATCAAAGTGGAGTGGTCATGGAAGACAAATTCCGACCATGTTCAACATCTGCTGATATTCTGGCAGTGTGTCACTGTAGAACTAAATCAGGTTTTGGTCGATTAAGGAGACAAAAGTCCCTTGCTTTTTATTCCTTTCCCCCAAAATTTTTGTAGTTCTGTTCACAAGCAGAATCACATAGGAACGTGACTTTTTTTCTGAATAAATCAGACAAGATAAAAATCTCTGTGCCTTTCCAACATGTTGCATATTATTAGTGAATTTTAGGAAAGAGGTTCCGGTATTACCTCTTGGTGACAAATCCGTAAAAAAAATAAGCAGTTGGATTTTGGGGGAGTGGGGGGATGTTTTTGTTTTTTTTAAATTCTAATATATTTAACAGACAAACTGTACATAGTTTGGGAAACTTGAATGAAAACTCTACTGTTGCTCTGAATTTCAGAAATCTCACCAGGAGGATTGCTGGAAGCAATTACTTGGTTTTCATAAAATGCCTTCCCCTTTTGAAGCCAAATCGTGCATGCTGAGAACAGACTTCAGAACAGAAAGCATATCTGTTGAGGGCAGAAAGTTCAACAGTTTAAAACATATATAGTAAGCATATGGGCTTTTTATAATCTTGATTTAAGTATAAACTGAAACTTGGTTTGGAAATAACTTCTCATTTCAGAGTGTGTCTGTAGTCTCTTTTATGGATCCATCAAGAAAAGTCCGAATCTTAACTGAAGGAAACAACCCTAATAATATTTTATAGATTATGCCTCATCAAAGCTTTTTTTTTTTTTTTTACAATATTCAAGTACAGATAGGTTGGCGACTCTTCTTGTCACAGTAAGGATCTTTGTTATGCGGAGACAGGAATGTGAATTATTGAACCAAAAATATAAAACAAATTAACCAGTAAGAAAATTAATTTTAAGGGAATACCCTCTTGAATTATAAAAGCTGCAGAAAAAAAATGCAGTTTCCTGAGGCATCCAACTTCATTTTTACAGGCTCATTTACTATGTCGATTCAAGTGCAAGACTAACTCATTTAGCTGTGCTATTAACTCTTACTCTGTATAAGGCTGTGTGGTGACAGCCAAAGTCTCAGGAAATTAAGCAGGACAATAGAAGAGCAGTATTAGATGGTATGGCCACATATGGTCTCATCAGTACACCAATAGGTTTAGTCACGCTTTTTGTCATCAGAGGGTAAGCCACCCATTTCAACATTCAATGGCTGTCACTTTTACTTTTCAAGGTTATCCTATGCCGTTCCATTGGAAAGATCTCTGAATGAAGTTGCAGCATGTGGCTTATTTATTCAAATCAGAAGTCCTGTAAAGAGAGTAGGAAAATATGAACTGAATACACTGAAATATGTTAAGCTAATGTTCTTTTGTCACAAATTATTTCTCAAGTGCTGCCTGAAAATGGCATCGTATGCTGGGTGTGCACAAATGGTACATAAATAACATACCCATGGAGATGCATGCACATTAAAGCCAAGTTAATTGGTTGTATTTTATATTTCAAGAAATAATCTTTGGGTCATAGACATTAGAGATGGGAGTGATCTGTGAGATCATCTTACCCACCCTACTGCTAATGCACGTCTGTTCCCTGAAGAGTATTCTTAAGTGTTTCAGCTTGTCTAGTTTTACGCGACTGTAACTGTGGAGCTTCAAGTCCATTGAGAGGCTGGGGTATAGCCCAATTGTTAAGTGTGTTTCTCTGACACTCACCTTAAAATTTTTATTTCCTAAAGGCATTCTCCTGTTTCTAGTTACACCATCTTGGATCTACCTACAGTTCTGGAAACCATTAAAATCCTAGTCAGTTCTTCCCTGTCCTTCATTTTACATAATTTCAAATAGAGTGTCCTCACGTTCTCTGTCCCTTGTGTTTTCTTGTAGCCAAGAATGACATCATTCTCTTATTTTTTCCTTGCAAACCATTTCTGGCACAAAAATAATTTTTACTTTGCTCAAAAATCTCTCAAAGTGTTCAATAGTTTGTGAGGTCTACAAAAACAAGACTAAATTTCAAGACCTTGTAGAGGCTTTATTTCTTTTCAGGTTCAGTGTGTGTGCACTTATGATTTGTGACTCAGGGATCCTGTTATATAATCAGTCTCTACTTGCTTTGAGCCTAAAATTCACTGATACCACTAAGACATTTAAAATACCATCCAGCCATCTTGAAGTCTTTACGTGCTATTATGGCTGCTATTATCAGTTGAATGTCATTTGGTTTTTTCCTTATTATTTTCTTTTTTTTTTTTTTTTTAGTATTCATTTCATCTTCTCTTTCTGTGGACTTATTCCTTAATGTGCTGACTACCATATGCTTTGAAACCAAGCATAAACTTAGTTTTCAAGTGGGCCAAAGGGAACAGCAGTCCTGCAGCTGAAACCTTGAAGGTTGTTTATGATTTTAATAACCTTTTGATTTTTGTATTAGTTGTTTATTTAACTCCAGTACTTCTTCACTCTCACATCAGCTTGTGACTAAATGGAGTACTAGGTTACACAAGAGTCCAAGACACGTAATAGGATTCTTCTTTCCAAGCAGGAAATTTTTCTTTAGTAGTATTGTTTGCAGTTCTTACTTGATTATTGGCTCATACTTGTGTCAGACCCACTAGAAGTGGAAAATTTTGTAAATAGATTATGTGAAACAATATAAACTTTGGAAAAATGGTCTTGTTGCCTTTACAGCATTTCTGTTCAAACAGCTAGTTGAAGTTTCTCTGAAAATAGCAGTACATGCCCTCAAATGATACACTGGTTTAATCAAACCTTTGTTTTCTGGTTGCAAGAGTAGAACTCTAATCCTCTTTTCTTTAGTCTAAATTCAATTGTTTTATTTCTCATCTTGAATAAAGAAAGACTGAAATCTTGAATTTTTCCTTGCCTGAGATCCTGATACCGTTTATAAGTATTTGACTAAGATGTATTGTGCCTATCTGTGCCTAATGAAGCACTAACCAGACTAAATGATGAATGACAGTTTAATCAATTCATTTCATTCAGTAACCAGCAGAAGCATATAGAACATAAATTTTGACCTCTCTTTATAAAAGCACCTGAATTATTCTAAAATTTGACCAGAACTGTGCTTTCCAAAGTTTTCCTCCACTTTTCAATGCCTAAGGAGAAACTTTGCTTAATATCTATGCTTTGGGATATGGAATTAGAAAATAGTGATGTATGTTTAATTTTCTTCTTTAAGAAATTTGACTATCAAGTCTCATTGACGTGGAATGTAAAATTATTTCATTATTCAGTAGCAGTAAAAGCCTTCAGAGATGAGTAAAGCAGGGCTCATCTGCTGATAATCTTAGTTAAGTGGTATTTATAAATACTCAGGCCTGGCTGTAATGGAAATATGCAATCTATTTTCATTAAGTTGTTTCATTCTAGAACCACTTTCTCACCAATATATGCACACATATCCATAAAATTAAATGCTACTTTCTGAATGCATCATCACTATGCATAAGCAATGAAAAGGTATGTAATTGCTATGTTCCAGATAATTTACTTCTAAAAACAAAGTTAAATTAGAGGTTGTTACTGGGATTTTCTGACATGGAAACAAACTCTCAGTTTCAGAGCGAGGTGGTACTGTAGTTAGTTTTGCAAATTCTTGGTTCTTTTTGATATATATTTTGGGTTATTGAATTGACATTTGCTTTGATTGAAGGTGGGGTTTTTTGTGTGGTTACTTACACAGACATAGGTATACAGCATACATAGGTGTTTGCATGCAGAAGTCATATAAAAATACATGTAGAAGAATGGAATTGAACCAGTTAAAATATATAATCAAATTCTGCATCCTATTGGTAGCCAAGGAGAATGTTTTCTCTTGTTTGCTGAGGGAACAAGCAACTCTTGAGTCTCTTCATCCAGACGCGAATGCAAGTTTGTAATTTGTTTTGCTTTTCAGTCACAGGAAGTCCACAGGTTATCTGGAATTTGAGTTAAGGTCACAGAAGCTTTCCTCAGCTTCTGAGAATTCATTCTTTGTGCTGTAGTTAGTATGTCTCAAGTGTTTTTTTCCCCCTGATTTCCTAGTACTCCTGCCAGTGGCTTAACTGAGTGGGATTAGGGGAACTCCGGTGAAGTACCTTTTGTGAGTGAGCAGGGGCAGGAGCTGTAAGGAGGTGGCTGTCACAGCGGGTAGAGGAGGGAGCCCGTGGCTGCTCAGCCCATTGCAGCACCTCTCAGCCAGAGCTTCTAGGGGATGGGGTCAGCAGCCCCCCAGAGCGATGGGCTTCAGGCTTCCTTCTTTTATGCCGGAAGAGGGGAGAAGAAAGCCCAGGCAAGCCCATTGCAGAAGTCACCTGCATTTGGGCAGTAACTTAGTTCAGTGGCTATGAGCAGCCATGTGCCCTTTTCTTTTTTACTCATTTTTTCCTAGATTCTCCTCCCATGCCAAGCCTTTCCAGTATACCTCCATGCTGCAGTCCTGTCCCCAGTCGGCTTCTCCCAAGGGTGCTGTCTCACTGCCATTCCCACATCCCCAGAATTTATTTGGGAGCATGAGTATGCTGCTTGGGAATCACTCATACAAACAGAGAGCAGCCTTGTGCCCTTACTGATCTCAACAGCTACCATCCGTATTCCCGCTACCTCTACGCTTGCCTTCAAACACCTGAGAAATATTCATATGTACACATGTACACATTGGTTTTAGTAAACACACATGCTTGTCCTTCAGCCTGGTGTTGATTTTTAAAAATAAATAAATAAATATTATTTAAATACTGGTGATTGATACAAAAGTGTTGTTGCTAGCCATTTAATCTATAAGAAATCTTCCTAATGTTGCATACTTACTTTTTTTTTTTTTTCTCTGTAGGGGAGTGGGTTGTATCTTTGTAGAAATGATCCAAGGGGTCGCTGCTTTTCCGGGAATGAAAGACATTCAAGATCAACTTGAAAGGATATTTCTGGTGAGTTTTTTATTGCTGAAGTAATGTGCCTAAGACAACAAAGGATTGATGATGAATGTTCAGGTATTTTTTTGAGTCAGGAATTAAATTACTGATACAGCCAAGGATCAGAAGCCTAGTCCACAAGCTAGATACAGTTTACTGGATATATTCTTGAAGATTATGTAATAAGTTCAGATCCTAATTTTTTCTATTAATATTTTTCAAATAATCTATAGAAAGGTTTTTATACAGTTTTGGAGAAAAGCTTTCCAAATGTAAGGCAATGGAAATCCAGCCAGTGGGTTTGGCAGTTCCCTTTCAAAAAAGCTCAGGAATAACTTTTCTTGACTCACTGATAAAGGGTTTCATTTACTTCAGTGCCTGCTGGTAGCTGTGCTGTTGTGAAGTGGGTTTATTCAAGCAAGCCACTGGTCACCCAGATACTAGCCAAAGTGGCTTCTGTTACTGTGGGGTGGCCATCAGGGAAGATATTGCAAGAGCAGCTCCTTCCCTCAACCTGGCAATCTCTGTTTTGCTTCTGACCATAAATTTAGAAGGCAAACATGGGCATACCCTTGCTTTTAAAGATTATTTTGTTAGTAGCCATTCATTTCAAATGCAAGGATTTTATTTGTGATTCTTTTTTGACCCATGGGGAGCATAAGAAAGTCTTTCATAACATGCTTATAAAATTTGCATTCTTCATTTTACTCAGACTTCCTTGTACTATATCTCTTTTGTTGGGACATCAGGGAATTTAGCAACTGCTTTGGGGAGTGACTCAGAAAAAAATCTCTTTCTAAAACAAGACCTTATTTGATTGTGATATAAAAATACCTCATTTTCTGTAAAATGTTTTGTTATTCTGCCCGCTTGGCAATACCCTGAAAATTCTCTGCTGTGAAAAAATAGCTGTGCCGCAATGTACACAAGGAGCAGCAGTTCTGAGCAGTTTCTGTGATGTTTCTCATTGCTTCATTTGTTTGCCAACTTGTGTATTTTAAGCTAGCAACTTCTAGGCCAGTTTTAGGGTATTGATTTCTTAAATTATTATGCTTCTCGTTTATTGAGATGAAATTTCCTCCTTACTTATAGAATGTGAAATTTTGAAAACAATAAATTCCTCTTTGAGACTTTGTGTCATTTATTGTAAAATTTTAGCAAGTGTTTTTGCTATGGAAATTAAGTAGACTTCTAACAGCACAAATCAGTGCTTCCTTTAACAGAGCCTTTATGCACAGTATCATATGGGATCGTATGATATAGTGCAAAAAGTGATAGTGATAGGTGTATCGTATAAACTTATGTTTGTATGCCTTTTGTAAACCTTTTGTATATTCTCATTTTCTCTTCTCTTCCCTATCCTTGCAGTTATTTGTGTGTTAAAATGCCAAAATAAATACACCCCAGGATGAGTTTTGAGGCCTGCTAATATTTTAAAATTCTGCTTTAAAACTGCAGCTGCAAATATTGAGAACAGTGTTGAAATAACAAGGGATAATTTATTGATACTGTTTCTTTAATTTGGTCTTTTACAAACCCGCAAACAAAAAGATAAAATTTTGGTTTGGATAGTTTTATGGTCCATTGTAAATCGGAGTTAATTTTTAAATGGCAATTAATTAGGCTCTCTAGAGCCTAAGAACTAGACACTCTAAGGAAGTGTCTAGTTACCCTTAGCTAAATAGTTTCAGTGAGTGCCTTCCTAATGTACTCTAAGCATCATTAAGAATTTAAGTTATCTGTTTAAAAGTTATAAAACAAATTATTATTCTTGTTTGGTTTTGTGTTTGAACAGAAGTATTAAATTCATTCATTCTCCAGTGAATCATGTATAGTGTGGTAGTTAATAGCGCTGAAGTACAAAATTAATCAGGTTGTTACACCAGGTAACTAATACAATTAACTCCCACACAGTGAGCACTTACACAGCTGTGAAAGAAACAGATCAACCAATAAAAGACTTTTCCACAGAGTCTTCCCATAGTTCTCACTTTCAACATCCAACAGTGATGGTTTTCTTGTAACAAAGGGTAATCTTCTAAAAATGGTGTAAGGTACAGTCCACCTTCGTACTAATCCTTTTATTCTGTAGTCCTCTTCTAAAATACACAACTTGCAACAAAAGGTATATTGCACACAACAGACTGTGTCGTGTCTGTCACTGTTGTTACTAGTCATAACTACACATCCATAGCACGTAAGAGTCCAGGTTGCATCTTGAGGCTCTTAGGGAATCAGTTACGTTGTAATAGGAAAGTCACAAAAGAAATAATAATCAGGAAAAGTGAATAAAATTTAATGTGATTAACAGTTTAAAATTCTTAAATGGCTGTTTGATTTCCTATTGTGTAATTTCCCATTATTATGTAAATGAAATTAAAATACATTGTATATATGCTGTTTCAGTGATTATCAAGTGGCAGTCAAAGAGAGATTCTCTAAATGCTTTTGCATCTCTCTACCATTGGCATTCTTCACACATCTACATAGTAAGAGTAGATGCAACCCAGCGCATCCCATATGTTTCTTCCTTGTTATGGTTGATGTTTATTTATGTTTAATAATGGCTTAATTAAGTGATTGTATATGATAGATTAAGAAAAGAGATTGATCTTTCAGGTTTGTTTAAGACTTTTCTCTTTAAGCTTCTGTTTCCTGACTTCTATTGTTTTAAACATTTGTGGGTTTTTAAATGGTAATATACACTGATTCCCTATTTCTGTTACAGCAGCTGTTTATAATAAGCTTTCTCAGGTTCTGTTACTGTGATAGGCCTCAATAAAATAGCAAGGGACTCTGTTTTCAGAGTTAGACCAGCACTTGAGAGATGTTGATGAATGAGCAAGCTGCAAGTTGTTATTGCCATGCTTTGGATCTGATAATATGAATTCTTTTCCTCACCTATACTCAGAAGTGAGAATAATCTCTTTTAAAAAAACTATACTTGCCAAATAAAATGGAAATCACACATATAAGTAGGTTGCTTTTTCAAGGAGCTTTAACAGTGAATAAAATGTCTTAATGCAGAGGTGATTTCGTTTAATCAGTGTACTATTACATCTTTATGCCTACTTTTTTCCTACATATTGGAACTGAGGTTACTTTCTGAAAAGAACTGCATCATAGGAAATAAGAGAGAAAAGTGTAATTACAGCCTATAAGACCTAACAAGTCTTTTGCCTCGAAGTATCAAATTAGTGATGTGTCGTCATCATTTCCAGCACAAATGAGAAGATCCAGCAAACTGTTTTGACATTGTTTGGGACAAGCAGCTTGAGGTATTTTTGGAAGGTTCTAGGTCTGATGGATGAATAATCTGATACAGTAATCTCAGCATTTCTATTTAGTCTTGTAATATGTGTGCAAGGCAGGATGAAGCCTCAATCAAGTACACATTGAACAGTAAAACCATGGGAATAGGAAACATAACTAAGGCAATCTGTTGAATCAAAATAAAACTACACAAAATTGGTAAATATGTGGCTTCTGATATAGAGTAGCTAAGATCTTTATTAGTAGTTTATTCCTGTTAATAATTTCTTAGCGTGTGTTTCTCTAGATGCAAACTTTGAGGCTTCCTGTGTCAAGGAGAACGTGCCATTGTAAATAAGCTTGAATTGTGTCTAGAAGTAAAAGCTGCACCAAATGCCTTCAAGCTAGCCCTGTGCCAGGGAGAATTGATGGCTCCTTAGGCCTGGCGATGATCAGCATGAATTAGTTGAGTGTTAAAGCTGATTACACTGAGAAATCTGCAGTATGCCTGTGCATGCCTTGCCCTGAGCCACACTGGAGGTATCAACTTGATTACAGCTCCAGTTTTGATATAACGTTGTGCTTTTATACTTGCTGTTCTTATCATAGAGTCATAGAATGGTTTGGATTAGAAGGGACCTTGAAGATCACATAGTTCCAACCCCCCTGCCATGGGTAGGGACACCTTCCAACAGACCAGGTTGCTCAAAGCCTCATCCAACCTGACCTTGAACACTTTCATGGATGGGGCAGCCACAGCTTCCCTGGACAGCCTGTTCCAGTGCCTCACTACCCTTGGAGGGAAGAATTTCTTCCTTAGGTCTAATCTAAATCTACCCTGTTTCAGTTTAAAGCCATTACTCCATGCCCTGTCACAAGATGCCCTTGCAAGAAGTCCCTCTCCAGCTTTCTTGTAGGCCCCCTTTAGGTACTGAAAGGCTGCTATAAGGCTTCTGTGGAGCCTTCTCTTCTCCAGGCTGACAACCCCAACTCTCTCAACCTGTCTTCATAACATTCTTAACAGAGTCAAACCAGATCACAGTTGAATTTCTTGTGGAGAGAATTTTTGAAGTGGGAAGATATTTCTGTCTTTGCCACTTTTCGTGAGGTTTCTGAGAGCCACTATAGATAAAAGTGAATTTTCCTCCCAGGCTCTAAAGCCTTCCCCATAAGGGAGTAATCTATGTGTTGGCCGAACTTTAGTCTTGGTGCCAGCTACACTGAAAATTATATTTCACTGCAAGAATAATGTGCAAAGAGTTCTCCTGGTACTTTGTACATCTTTGCATAGGCAGGACAACAGCATTTAAATGCTGCTTTATCTGTAAATCGGCATTCACTCTGCAAACACGGTTGTGGGACAGGGGCACGCTGCAGGAGCCTCATGCTGCAGGTAATGTGGCACAGCAGGAGAGGGGGTTTGCAGCCAGAAGCTTATGTCTTTCCTGACACACGTATTGCAAAAAGCTGAGGACCCCTCTCTGGTCTTGGATGCTATTGCTCTGTTGGGTGCCATAATGCACAGTATTAAAAAGTAATTAAAAGAGAACAATATCCATTTGTTGAGCCCAGCAGCCTGGTATGTCAAAGGGTGAGGCCAGAAATGCTCGCTTTCTGCGTGGAGCTGTACAGCAAAGGCTCAGCGATTTCAGATAGCTATGAAAAATGGCAATTTCCTTTTAAATGGAAATGGAAGTGTTACTTCTGTTATTGAAGATTTAAAAGGCTAGCAATATTTTTTCTTTTAGATATATATATACACA